CGTTAAGTTATATTTGGCTGGCCTAAATAGATATATATGACATATTATACATATTTGAGCTCATCTTTATCCCTTTCAAGAGGCAAAAACGTGTAGCGAAAGAGAGAGAGAGAGAGTTTTAGAGAGAGAGAGAACTCAAAGAGAAGAGGAAGAATGTGTGAAGATTGAAATGAAAACTCAAGATTTAGCTTGGATCCTCCAAGATTGTGCAAGAATAAGAGTTAATGAAGACTTTAGGTAAGATTTTACGTCTCAAACTTTGAAGATCATGAATTAAGAGTTGGATTTATGGATTTAATGGAAGTTTTTATATGTATTTTGTCATATAAGGCAAGAACATGGCATGATTTCATGAGATTCATGTTTGTAACTTGTTTTCTTGCATGATTTCAAGATTCTTAAAGATTTCAAAGGACTTTCTCTATGGATTTTGGAATTAGAACTTATCACATGCATAGCTTTTGATTTTGTTCTTGACTTCAAGGCTTTGAGCTTGTAAATGGAATTTTGGTTTTGCTTTGAAATTATGATTTTGATTGAAGTTAAAATTGTTTAATTTAATATGGTTTTGTAAGGTTTTGGGCCTTCATTTTGTAAAAAGTTGAGGCTCCATTTTCAGCAGAGTTTTCAGACTAGTTTTACACCCAGACTACTCGAGCGGCTTGGGCTACCGCACGAGCGGCCGGGCCTCTTTTGGCACAAAATGCATTTTGAAATCATCACTCGTGCGGCCAAGGCCACCGCATGAGCAGCCAGGCCACCACACATGCGACCAACAAGGCAGTTTTTCCGATTTTGTTTTCTTTTTGTTTTTCTGACTTCTGGGACTTCATTTACATGGTTTTCATGTGTAATACACATCTATATGCATTGCATGTGCATGGAAGGAACTAGGAATAAGAAGAGCCGAATGGATTAAGAGTCCACTAAGCGATTGGACTGTGATTGAATGTGTTATTCTTAATTCTATTTCTGTAGGCCAGACGCCGCGTCGCAACCACGTAATTCAAGGAGTCAACTGTGAGTAACAACCCTGTAAAGATATGTTTGAATTATAAGAATTTTATGATTTATAAAATGCTCTGTTTCTGAACTGCTATTTGCTGACTGATTGAATGATTGTCATGTTTTGTGAACTGTATTCGTGGCATTCTTAGCATCTGTTTCTGCTACTGTTACGGAGAACTCTATCAGTTCCACTTTGTGGAACTTCTGTTTACTGTATTGATGGCTATCATATATGACTGTCGGTCTGCATGACAGTCTGTACTGTTCTGCTATTGGATGTACCACGTATGACTACTATGCTTTCTATATGAGATAGGGATCTGTTAAGCATATGATTATGATCTTCTGTTTACTACTAAATTGATTGATTTGAATTGCAATAAGGACACTATTCATAACCTCTTTACATTGTTGTTATTCATTGGGCACTAGCTCATGGTGTTATATATGTATGTAGGTGATCAAGTGCACGAGGGGACATAGTGGTACCGACCTAGCCTTAGTTTAATCAAGCCAGTTTTTGTGGCTCACTGCAAGATTCCCATCGGTCAGGTATTGAGGCTTTCAGGTGGTACAAAAATCACATTTTTGGGATTCAATTATATGTCATGAATAGTTTATGATCTTTGTGTACCCTTTTACTAATGGGATTGAAATCCCTCTTTTGCTTATGTTTTGGACACACACCGTGGTGTGGATTGTTGTACAATATGGTATGTGTGACAACCCTCACCACTGATTAGTGCTAATCTATGATTAAGCGTGTTAATTGACTGATTGACTGAAATTCTGAACTGATTGATTGAGTGTATTAGTTTAAATGCGTTTCTATCTGTTGACCGTTAAATGATCTGTTCATGTTTTATGTTTTAAACTGCAAATTGAAAGCCTTATCGGCGGCCGAATCTGAAATTGATTAATGTTTTATGCTAGTTAGAATTTATATGACTTTATGGTATATTTAATTGAAATGTGATTTGGTATGATTAAATTGGATTAAATAAGCTAAATTACATTAGTTGGACTTATTTACTCTTTTGCCACCTAGTGGGCCACTTCACCAAATGTTGTTTGAAGCTTAGTCTTGCTTCATTCTTCACTTCCTCTAAGAGACCAACGTGAGAGAGAGCTTGAGAGTTAGAGACATTGAATTCATCTAGAATCCTTACTTGAAATTAGAAGACTGGAAGAGAGATTGCATGTTTGAGCTTTCATATTTGAAATTGAAGACCTAAGGTAGGATATTCATCCTTTGGGTTACGAATTTAAGTTGTGACTTGCATGGTCCATGCTAATTTTGAAGTCTAGAGCCAAGATATGGCGTAAATTGTTGAATTGAAGCTTGTATCATGCATACATGTTCATATTGTTGAGTTTTGAAGTTGTTTCATGAGGATTTCTTCATGCATGTTCATATTTTTGGTCTTGATCAATGAACTCACCATGTTTTGAAGTTAAACCTTGCATTTGATCTTGTTTTGTAGCATTAGAGTTCCTAGGAACCCATGCATGTGTTGAATTTGCATTGTTCTTCATGTTCATGAAAACTTCTTTGAAATTTGTGTTCAATTAAACTACCTTTGGGCTTTGATTTCTCAAATTGATTTTTGAAACATGTCATATTATGAGTTTTAAAGTGTTTTCCAGAAAATTAGCTCAAAAGGATCGGATTTGATGCTTTAAAAGTTAATTTTGAGCTTGTAGGTTCAATTTGAAAATTCCAGAATTTGGACCCACGCTCGAGTGTACACTCTGGGTTCATGTAGTCCGCTCGAGCGAGTAAAGTGACGCTTGAGTGTGAAATGCGTGTAACCAGTACTTTGCATATGTTTACAGGCTGCTCGAGCGAGGGAATGGACGCTCGAGCGAGGACTTGTGTCTCATGCTCGAGCGGGGGTCGAGCGCCCTTCGAGCGTGAATTTCGTGCATCCAGTACTTTTGTAGTCCGCTCGAGCGAGGAAAGTCACGCTCGAGTGGAGATCCTTTGTCTGCATGTCCGCTCGAGCGTAGAAATCCACGCTCGAGCGAGACCCCTGTTTTCTGAAAATTCTGAAAAGTGTTTTAAAGTGCATCTTTGCATTCTCATTCCATCTAGGCACTCCCAGGCCTAGTTTAAGGCATCTTAATGAGGATATTGATGTAGAACCACACCGAGGCAAATTAGGGATTAAGTTATTATTTTCCAACTGTGTAGCTTAGTGTGTGTTCGTTCTGTAACTGTGTAGGGTTGGCATCCGAGGATGCTCTAGCTGCTTATAGCCTAGTGCTCTGTGAGTAACAATATTGTAAAGATATGTTCAATCATGAATACTTTCTGAATGAACAACTGTACTGCTTTCTGAAATGATATTTCTTACTGAATGAATGTTTGTCATATTTGTGAACTGTATTCGTGGCATCCATAGCAATATACTGTTACTGTACTGTACTGCTACTGTCACAGAGATCTCTGTTGGTTCCCATGTTTAGAACCACTACTGTTTACTGATATGATGGCCATCAACTGACTGTTCGGTCTGTTAAGACCTACTGTACTGTTTTGCTATTGGATATACCACATATGACTATTATAGTTTCTGAATGACTGTTATGGCATGAAATATGAGCCACAAACTGAAAGACTGATATACTGATAATTGACTGTTTTCAATACTGAAAGGACATTCATTCTTAACCTCTTTACGCATATGTTATTCACTGGACTTTAGCTCACTGCTCATATATATATATATATATATATGTAGGTGTTCAGGCACCAGACCGTTGCTAGAAGCGTCAGGCTAAGCCTTGTTTTGTCAAGCCAACCTTTGTGCTTCACTTTGAGGTTCCAGATCTGTTCCAGCTAAGGCTGCTTTTGGGGTGTCTCAGATTCACCCTATCTGTCTCTGTTATGTATAGACTGAATGATATTTGTACTGTACTGTTATGGTGGGGATTTGGTTCCTAACCTGAATGCCTGTAATGATGTATATATATACTGTTTTTGTTTTGAATGTGAACATGTTATGAAAAGTCTTTTTGCATACAGACTGTCACAGCTCATTGAACATCTTTTAATTACTGTTTTGGCTTCCGCCAGCCCCTGTACTCTGTATTACTGTTTTACTGTTAAGCAGGCCTTCGGTAATCACGTATTACTGGCCAGTTATGGTGCTAAACCCATAGGGGCGGATTTGGGTTATGACAGTATGTAAGGATTATTGTATGTGGGTAAATTGACAGTTATATATGTACATGTTTGGTAATATAGTTGTACAGCTTAATGGACTATTGGTTATTTCTATATTTTAAGCTTCTGCTAGCCCCGATTATTTTGATTTCTACAAGAAGACATTTGGTAATCTCAAATTACTGGTCAGTTACGACACTAAATGTATAGGGGCGAGTTTGGGTTGTAACAGAGACTGTTAGTGTAATTTGCTTTACAATATTTAAGCCTATTTTGAGAAGTGTTTTTTTTTTTTCGACTTATTGACTTATTATGAAAAAATATGCAAAAAAAAAAAGTAAATAAATGATGTGATTGCTAGCAAAAAACTCAACACCAAATGGTTCATCAAATGTTTCATCAAATTTAAATTTGATAAAAAAACTCACTTTTTACTGTTCGAACCCAATACCAAATCTTTCATCAAATCCAAGATTTCTCAAATCTTTTATCAGATTGAGGATGGATGTGCCTTTTATCAAATTATTATTCATCGTAGTTGAATTTGTACCACTGAATGTCCCCCGGACAATCACTGTAAAACAAAAATTTGTGAAAAATTTACACTAGCCGGTCGACTGACAAGACATCCACTTGGTGTTCTGATAAAACTTTATAAACCTCTGTTAAAACACTTGATATCAATGAAACTTTTACTCAAATCTGACGCCAAAAAAAAAAAAAAAACACCTTTAGAGATGCTCTCATAAACTGACTTTTTTTTTTTTTTTTCCTTTCCAAACGAGGCATAAAAATAAATATTTCATTTCATTTTTCTAATCATTACCCGAAGGGTTTATGTCTCCCGCATAAACCTCACTGAACACAGATTCGAAGCTCCTCCGTCGCAGTTTAGAGAGAGACAGAGAGGAGAGAGAGGGAGGGAGGGGGCGATGTTGGAGAGCAGACTGGTATGGCTATTGAAGAGGAAGAGCAAAGCCCTGAATTGCGTATTCAATAATGTAAATGGATCGTCGACTAGGGTTTTGAATCAACACTCTTCATCGTCATTGACAAATCCTTCCAGATTCTTCTCTAGCGTTGCAGATCACAGTACCAGTTCTACTCGTGGTGTTACTACGAGGAACTCCATCATCTATGGCTTCAGATCCCTCCATCGTCATCATAAGGTTCATTTCTTTAACGTCGTTTGTTTTTGAGATCATAAGCAATACTAGTATTTAGTTCATTTTATTTTATTTGATGCCCTATTCATACAGCTTTTGGTCTCGATGGTCTATCGTGTATGTAATTCGCTTGTATTCCGTGGGAAATTTGTGTGGTTTTTTTTTTTTTTCTTTTAGGCTGTGTTTGGTTTATGGATTTGGATAGAGATTTTCGAAACGGAAAGGGAAAAGCTGGGTAAAATGTGAATGAAACACTTTTTCCCTTTACCTTTCCAAATTCCTACCCAAATCCATGAACCAAACAAAGCATCAAGGGAAAACAAATTGTAGTTGGTTTCTTGTGAAAAATTGCAATGAAACTTTGGATTTAGGGCCTTTTTGATTAGCAGGATTAATAGTGAGGGTATTAATAATCCATGAGATTAGTGTAGGATTGGTTATCGAGCTGGGTTAGCGAGATACATAATTCCCTCTTGTCAACAGTTATTTTGCAATAGATATAGACATATATAATTCCAGTTATAGACATATATATGTTTTGTGTTATTAGTTGTAGGATTAAAAAATCTGTCAATTTTGTTGGATTGAATGGCCTCTGGAATCTAATCAGAATAATAAAATTTGCAACCAAACAATGGAATGTGAGTCCTATGGATTAATAAGCCCAATTCTATGCAATAGTCTGCCTAATCAAACAAGCCCTTAGTGAACAATGTAGGCCTTCTTTGTCTCTCTTTGCATGCGTACGTGTGCGAATTCTTTCTATGTGCCTTATCATTCAGTAGCGGATCCGTGAATTTGTTTTTTGAATGGGGTCAATGAAAAACTCAAGTTCTACAAATTCTATATAGAAATTTTTAACACCTATCAATATCTATCTTCTATTTTCAATAATTTGATAAAGAGAATTCATATTCTAAAATCACAAGGAGGCGCCAATAATTTTAGTCCATCATGGGTACCATTGATGACATAATAATCTCTATAGACATGGATAGGAAAAAAGTAGTTCGAATAGCAAGAATTTAGATTCTCAAATCACTAATAAATGAAAACTTTTGTACATTCATATTAATGTAAATATATAAACTTCTATAGTTGTTCTGAACGAATTTTTATATTTTTAATTTGTTCATAACTGTTTCAATATTATAAAATAAAGCATTTTCAATAAATGTGATTATGTGACTAAACAATCATCAGTGGATCACCCATTCAGTTGTGCAAAATTTATTTTTATGAATTTTGTTGGTTGGCGGAGTGTGCTCACCGAAATTTATTTTTTTTGCTTCGGCAATTTTAGTCTTCTTTGGGCTTTGAAAAATATAGCGATGGCTTGATTATTTTTTATCGGTCCAATTACTCTAAACGAATTGCAGTGGGGTCAATTTTTTGTAAATTAGTGGGGTTAGTTTTACCTAAAAATATACACATATAATTTTATTTCAATGATTTTAAGTGGGGTCAATTGACACCACACACTAACATATGCTGTGCGCTTATCAATTTGCTAAGAGTCTTGTCATTCAACAACTTCATTATCATCTAATTCCCTCAAAATTACTTGTTTTTACCATGGTCTTCGAATCTAAGGATGTTGAACTAGATGAACTTTGTCGGACCAAGTTCCACCATCTCTCCTAAATCCAATTGGTGTTAGGGAGGGCTTCGCTTATGTTTTTTTATGGCATTCGACATCACATCAGCATGCCTATTTTTAATGTGGTTGTAGGGAGAGGCATTGTGGACCTAACAATTCCTCCCTCACAATGGCGCTCTCGTGACTTGAACCCATGACTCTTTGATACCATTTTTCAATATAATTTTCACCATCTCTTCTCAAGCTAGTTGGTGTTTATCACACTCGCAAGCCTATTTTTAGAGCAGTTGTAGGGAATGACATTCTGTACCTAGCAATTTTTCCCCCATGATGATGCTCTCGTGACTCAAACACATGACAATCTAGCTCTAATACCATTTGTCAGGCCAAGTTCTACCATCTCTTCTAAAACAAATTGGTATTAGGGAGGGCTTCACTTATGTTGTTTATGGCATTTGACATCACTCCCTCAGGCGTACCTATTTTTAGAACAATCATAGGGAGCGACATTGTGTGCTCAACAAACTTATTTTCATGAACAATGAAGTTCAAATATTACTTATTTTTTGTCTTCTTTTTTATTTATATTTTTTTTGTGTGGTATTCATCTTTTGGTTAAGTAATTAGAGGCTCATGTCAGTTACTGCCCGTGGATTAACTTTTTAGTTTTTCACTCTATGTAAAATCTTGATAAGGAAATATTGATGTTGTTTTCAGGATCTCTATGTACCATCTTATAGGGCTATGTCCACCACAGCATCTGCCTGTATCAAAAATAAGGAGGGACTAAAGCTCCTAGTTACTGCAGGGCCCCATGGTCAGAAAATGGTTGGGATATGGCTTTTTGCTTCTGCTGCATGGGTGTTTAGTATGGTGGTACTTGGTGGTGTCACACGACTTACCCGATCTGGTCTTTCAATGACTGACTGGAAATTCACCGGTGGCCTTCCTCCTATGTCTGATGATGATTGGTTGATTGAGTTTGAGAAATACAAGCAATCCCCAGAGTATAAGCGGTTAGTTAGTTGAAGCACCACCATGTCTTTATTATGAATTTTTATATTTGTTTTGTTTTGGCAAGAATTTGCACTCAGTAATTCTAAGAAGAGATTTTTTATGTGTGTAGTTTCAAAATTTCTATTTCTAAAGCTTTCTAGGAGGTGCTCTCATGCTTTCTTATAATTGCATTACGTTTTATTTTCCTTGACCCTGAGGAACCGACAAGTATTCTATCTTACTTACACTATGTTTCTGGGTTTCTGTGGCTGTACATGAACTTACTGTGCCATTTCAATTGAGAGCACATGCTTTATTGCTTATTGATGTGGTCATTTTTTGCAGTGTAAACAAGGGGATGACTATTGATGATTTTAAGTTCATATATTGGATGGAATATGCACATCGTATGTGGGGTAGGGCACTGGGGATCATGTTTGCTCTACCATTTTCATATTTTATGCGTAAGGGATATATTACCATACAACTTGGTCTGAGACTCTCTACACTCTTTGCCCTCGGTGCTGGACAGGGACTAATTGGTTGGTGGATGGTTAAAAGTGGGTTAGAGGTAAGAATCATTTAATTTTCTGTTGACCTGTATTAAACCTAGTGACACTCATGAATTGTGAATATCCTTATTTCTTTGACATTTTGAAGGAACCACCATCTGAGTATACACAACCAAGAGTAAGCCCATACCGCCTAGCAGCTCATCTAACTTCAGCATTTGTAATTTATTGTGGCCTATTTTGGACTGCTCTTTCTGTTGTTATGCCTGAACCACCTGCTGAATCAGTAGCTTGGGTTCGTGGGGCGGCAAAGGTTAAGAGACTTGCCCTTCCTGTAAGCATTCTTGTTGGCATCACTGCTGTCTCTGGCGCATTTGTTGCGGGGAATGATGCTGTATGTAACTGATCATCTTTCTGCTTTTTCTTTACGTATATCTAGTGAACAACTCTGGTTGTTTTTTCCCCCGGTAGTGAATTCTGAAAATGCTGATTGCATGCTAAATTGCTAGGGCCATGCCTTTAATACATTTCCAAAGATGGGTGATACGTGGATTCCAGATGATGTTTTAAGTATGAAGCCATTTATGCGCAACTTCTTTGAGAATACATCAACTGTGCAGGTAAGCTTTTCCAAGTAATACGGCACATATATTAGCAGATGGAATGCTTATAAAAAAAATATATATATATTAGCAGATGGAATGTCATGGTTCTTCCAATGAATGTCTTAGGCCTTATTTGCTAACATGTAGGTTTATTTGGCAGAAATGAAACAGACAGAAGATTGTAATGTTAGAATTGGAGGAATAGAAAGAAGATTTTAAAATTTAAAAGAAAAAAAAATTACATACTGAAATATTGAAGGTGGGCACTTTATTGTGCCTGGTCACCTTTTTCATATTTATCTAAATCTCCCTAAATATGGAAAACTATATTTAGTGTCACTGCAGAAATTTCTGATTTTTTCTCCATGGCCAAACTGTGGATATAAGAAGATCAGTTATATTTAGTCTTTTTTTTTTAAATTTTTATTTTATTTATGTTGCTTTCTTACACTAAATGTGACTTGTTTTTGACAGAGTGAGTCTTATTGGTGTTGGTGTTTTTTTATGCCTTGTCATTGTTGTTCCTTCCCTTCCCTGGAAGGTGAGATTACTTTGTAATTGCTGTAAAATTCTGAGGGGTGGAGGGTGAGATTACTTTTGTAGCTTAAAACAACCACTTCAACAAGAAGTTGACTAACTTACGATCTAAGATTTCTCAGCAACCAAGAGAGCATTGATAAAAATCATAATTATGTTTGTCTAGGTATGGCATATTCTAAGTTGTGATGCTTAAATACAAAAACCAATTTATCTAGTTCAAATGGAAAAGTGCTACCGCTAGAATTCTTTTGGTTGTTTTAACAGCCATGCAACTAATTGTACATCTTAATTGGGAATACCATGAAAATAATCAGAAGAACTGCAGTAATTGCTCTTCCCCTGTTTTAACTAAATAATTAAGTCTCTTATGAAGGAAATTGCTCCTGATGGTCAACATTCATTGGCAAGGAAACTTGTTAAATTTGACTGGCATTATGCAGAGTGAATGTTGAAAATTTATTGATTAAATTCTAATTCAAAATGCTATTTCCTTGCTAACTTAGATAATTGGCGACAATGATGTCTTAATAACAAACTTTTTTTATGTTTACAGCTTGACCACCGTATCCTTGCAACTGCAACGTTAATTTCAATTGGTGGCTTATGGTGGTCAACGAGAAAACTGGACATTCATCCTGCAATACGATCTTTGATTGGAAGCACCATGGGCATGGCTGCTCTTCAGGTATTTATGATATTTGAGTTATTTGGCTTGTGGGGTTGTCTCTGTATCATGGAAGATTGCAGATGTGACAAGTTTGAATTGAGAGTTTTGAGTATTGTTTTCTCATTATAAGACTTAAAATAAGTTGTAAAAGACTTAGATTATTGCAATTTTTGATAATCTGTGAAAAAGTCGAACCTGTTTAGTTTATTTAGTTGTCACATTATGTTTATTTGTTGTGGGTTTTTCAAAGAAGTCCAAAAAAAGAGAGTACAAATTGTAGCTTAAGAAAATCTCTCTTTTTTTATCCAATAAACTGAAAAAGTCAAATAAGTTATGACATAAAATTGCAAGAACTAAACATCAATAGTCAACTTTTTTAAGCAAATAAGCTAAATAAGTTGACTTATAAGTGCTACCAAGCAGGGTCTAAGCATTCTCTTGAGTCTTTCACTTGAGTCTTGACTTGATGTGGTGCTTGAAAGACGTATACCTCCCTCCCTGGCTCCTTTTGTGTAGTGGTGGTTGAGCTTCTGGGTTTACAGATTCTGTTTTTATTGTTATCCTTTATTACCTATGGGAAAAAAAAAAAGAGTTGGTGATATGTTAATGCCTTAATTAATGTTTTTTTCTTTAATTATCGCAGGTCACTTTAGGGATATCGACACTCCTGTCATTTGTACCTGTTTCGCTAGGCACTGCTCATCAGGCTGGAGCTTTAACTTTATTGACACTCATGATCCTACTCAATCACACCGTGCGAAGGCCATCACTTTCGCTTCTGAAGTCTCTTCCCTCTGTTGCAAAAACAACCTAATAACTTTGCATTATGACACTGTTATGAGAATTAGGCTTCATATCATCGCTTTTTTTAATCATCGATTTTCAGGTGAGGGTGCATCTTGCTAGAAGGCCCACATGATACAGAAATATAAATTATGGACTTTCTTATCTGCTTTTACAGGGGGAGGCCTCTGCATCACAGTGACGGGTTGCGAATGGAATGTTGTATCCTAGAGTCCCCATTGATTTGTCAATTGAGTTGATTATTCTTTTGCTGAGTGCCATTGATTTGTTATTCTTCTTGATAGAGATAGATCTCTACATAAGAGAAGTTGAAAAACTTTTAGACGCAAGGAAGTGATTGATTTAAAATCCTAAATTTTACAGGGCAATAAAGTAGTAGAATTAATTTTAAGAGGGAAAATATTTGAAAATGAGATTAAAATCTCCTACTTATTTATTTATTTATTGATGAAAATGGATTTTTGTATTCTAGAGTGCCATTATTGATTTTTGTCAATTAAGTGGGATGATTGTTCTTTCTCTGTTGATATTTTTCTTGATTGAGATCTTTACAGGAGAAGTTAGAAGAGTTTTTACATATAACTGATACTATTTAAAATCCTAATTTTTAGGTGCCTAGTCGAATTACTTTTTAGAGGGAGGACTTGAGTGATGCAACTCTGTTTCGTTTTAAGTTTTTAGAAACAATTTTATTTATTTATTTATTTATTTATGTATTTTGTTGTCTTTAGTTAATTTTTTTTAATCTTTTTATATTTTAGTAATTTTTATTTTTTTAGATGCACTTAATTTAAATATATTTAAAAGTATAATATTTGTGAATAAATTTAAAAATAATTTAATAAATGCAAAAAATGAATAAATTTAAAAATAATTTAATAAATGCAAAAAATGTAGAAAGTATATAATTTTTTAATTTAGTAAATTTTTAAAAGATTTTTTTTATTATATAAAATTGTACTTTTAGAGTGTATTTAGATTAAATAGATCTAAAAAAATCTTAAAAATCCAGATTGAAAACTCAATTTATTTTTAGACTTTCAAATACACAGTTTGAATTTTTTTTTTTTAAAATACAAAATTTGTACTTTCTAAATATATTTAGATTAAATAGATTTAAAAATATTGAAAAATTTATTATAAATACAGTTTGAAAGGTTTTTTTATACAAAATTTGTACTTTCTAAATGTATGTAGATTGTCTTTCAAAAAAAAAAATGTAATTAGATTAAATGAAACTACAAATATTAAAAATTTTATTAGAAAATGAAAAATGCTTGAAACTTTTTGTTGGAGATAACTCTTTTTGGATCTCATTCATTGATGTATGTATAGGATTTACTTATGTATGTGCGAGATTCACACTATCAATGATTGAGTTTTAAAAGGATTGTGAGAGTCTCCGAAAAAATGTCTCAATCATTGTTGTTTGAAAATACAGATTGAAAACTCAATTTATTTTTAAAACTTTCAATTACCAAATTTGAAAGATATTTTTTTTTTACAAAATTTGTACTTTATAAATGTATTTGGATTCAATAAATCTAAAAATATTAACAAAATTGATAAAAGTACTAAAAAAATTATTAAAATTTCAAAAATACAATTTAAAATGGATTCAATCACAAAAAAAATGATATTTAGTCACCCAAAAATCATGCGTCTATGCATACATGGATTTACTAAAAAGTGGTACATTTTCAACATGCAACTGTCAATTCTTTTTTATTTTTATTTTTATTTTTTCATTTTTCTTGATTGAATCCCATTTTTAGCAAAACATGAAAGGGTAAGAAAAAGAGCCAATCAAAATCCAATTTTCAAATCTATTTCCTCCCTGAATATTAATTCTCCAAAATCTATAATCCGTGGTTGCATCATGTTCTTTGCAAGATGAAAGGGATCATCAAGTTATAAAAAGCGCATAATTCAATTATCCAAAATAGCCTACAAAGAAAAACTTGTAGCAGTCCTAAGAAAGAAGACAACTTCTATGTCAGGGCCAAACAAATAACCTCAGAAACAGTAAAAATAAAAGAGTCTGTTGTAATATCAGTCTTTTGCACCTTAAAATCAATTAATAAACAGTCCCTACAAAATAAGGTTTTTATATGGTGTGGGAAAAAAATAAAACCAGCATAACAAGATTAGCGGCCACGTCCCCGGCCACGTCCACGACCCCGACCCCGGCCACGTCCCAAAGGCTTCCCTGAATTCAAAAGAATTGAAAAGATCAAAACCAGCATAACACAAGGCACCAAAGGTCAAATAAGAGGATATGTGAATGCAAGCGTGCGTTTAGAGCTACAAACAGATGTGCAATACCTGCGGTTGGCTTTTTGGGCTTGACCCTGGGTGTCTCTTCCACCAGCAAAGTCTCGAGATTTAAACTGTCGGGTAGAATATAATAGCGGATGTTGTTTCCCCTTACGCTTAGGTGATCAAAATTTACTGGATTTTTCCCCTTTAGCGTCAGTTTCACTGTTTTCAAATGTGTATTCATGCTAATATCCACACCTACAATAAACCAGCCAAGCCAACAAGTCAGAAAATGAGATTCATTGCCGTAATTTTCACAGGCGTGCATGCAGCTCCACAGATGCTCGTTAGGGGGAAAAAAGAAAGGCATGGGTGGTGACATTTAGGTTGGAACCCAAGCAGATATTACTACCATCTAAACTACTAGGATAATAAAACTGTCAATTACAAAGAATTATCACATAATTCTAAAGACACAAGGCAGGCAAAAAGTAATAGGCAGGAACAAAGTAAATTCAATGTGAGAATGTAGTCAGTCTGGCCACTTACACCAAATTCATATAAATCTTTCTTTAGAAAAACAGAGATACAGATATGACTGAGCACACATGCATATGAATACAGAAGCAAACACAATGGTAAAAAAGAGAAGATGACAAAAACAAACCAAAAAAATAGGCATACTAGAAATCCTCAGCGATGCACATTATAAGTGCAGATCAAGGTTTTTAAAAATCACCTACAACCATTACACAATACCGTTGCATAACGGTTTTGGTGGTTACTGCCTTTGTTATCAAAATTTTACGCTTCGCGATTTATCAAAAATCGTTATGAATCTACGAGTGAATCTATTTTGGAATAGAATCTATGGTAAATTGCACGATTCACAATCGATTCATGATTCAATTAATTTTTTACAATTCATGCACCTCTTAAAACTATTGAGTCTGACAGATTCTTTCCTCATAGTTTTGATAAAACATTTGCTTTAGGTACTGTAAAGAACTTCTGCTTCTATAGAGCATCTTCAAGAAGCAAAAAGAATCAAGACAGAAATAAATGGGGGAATTAACATCACATAGCCATGTAAATAAGATATTTTAGCACCAATGCACAACAATACTATTTAAGATCTTTCCTAGTTGCTACAAACTCTTGTAATCATCTTGGTTCTATGGGTGAAACATCAATATTTGAGAGGCGTTTTGGATGGGGTGCAGGGTTCAGACCACAAGCCATCCCTTTGGTTAGCATCAGCTATCAAGTTAATTAGCTTCAAGGAAGCTCTCTGATCAGTTATTTTGAAGGAAAAAAAAAAAAAAAAACACCAAACCAAACCAAACTAAGCTTTGCGTCCCAATTATAGCAAAACAGCAAAATCATGAAATTGAACAGCGGTACCAAATTCGAATAGCAAAATCATGAAACTCGACGATTATGAAATTACCTTTGAACAGCGGTACAGCGATGATGTGGTTGTGGCTGGAATAAGGAAATCTGGGAAAAGAGAGCCAAATTTCACAGCAAAATCATGAAATTGAACAAAGACATGAACAAAAAAATTCATACACATACAAATGTCAGCGATCTTGATACCAAACCTGACGGTTTCCTAAATGAAGACATGAAACTAAATACACCGAATAAACTCCAAATTCAGAATCCAAATTCAGAAAATTTATAGAAACAGAGCACTTCAACTAAGCCCTCAACTTCATAGAGAGAACAAATGACCCGTAAACAAAACCCTAAAATAAGCTGTTGGAAGAATCCTTTATTTCCATGACTTCATTGTCTATTGCAACACCTAAAAGATTCATCCTGGTCTAAGCATTCTTAATTTCATGTTCACTTGTTGATGTATTACTCTCTCACACCTGGTTCTCTGTTGCTCCCATCTCTTCTACCACTGTAATTATCAACCACTTCATCAGGATTCCCTTCAAAAACATCAGTTGAATGTCCAACATTGTGTCCTCAAGTTCATAGCAAACGAACGACTCCTCTTCCTCTAATAAATGCAAAACCTAACAAAAACCAAATATTTCAAGACCAAACAATTATTAATACAATAAATTATTCTGTGTTTAATCTCTTTTTCTCTGATGTATAACTCTATTTGTTTAGAAATAAAAGAATAAACATAATAATTTTTTTAGGCTCAAATATAAATATCTATTCAAAGTGTGACTAAATTAGTGGGTTGACGATAATAGTTAATATATATTAAGCGGGTGGACTTGGATTTAATAATTCTTTTCTGCTAAATTTTGGATGACTAAATTAGGTTGATGCTAGTCTGGCTCTGTTTAGGCTTAAAGTAACATGTATATTTCTTATTATGTAGTGTAATCCCAATTTGATCGATGTTCACCACTGATTCCAAGAATTCAATTCCTCCGCATAATCTATCTCCGCTACATTCCAAAATCTTTTAGACACCAAAACAGTTATCTCCTTTTAAAGTCCCTAACAATTAACTCCAATCCTTACAACTTCATTTTTAAATTGAGTAATGATATACAAATAAAAAAATACATACAGAACGATATAGTTGAATTCTCAAATTATCATTTAAAAAATAAAAAAAAAACCCACCAAGATGATTCTAAATTTCAAAAAAAATTACTGCCACATCATTCTAATTAAGTGAATTTGTATGAAAATTTTAGTAGAAAAGAATTTTCCTTCTAAATTTGGTCCATCAAAAAATTTGGGAAAATTGTTCGTTCATAGATTGAAATTACACCTAACACAAAAAAATGACCATCTATACATGCTGGAATCTGGAGCTTTCCATGTGCCGACTATTTTCTCAATTGGATGGAAACTTGTTTGTTCATAGATTGAAATTACAGTTTACATCAAACTTTGTTTGACCAAAGAGAATACGGAGAGTGTCCATTTTACATTTTAAGAAAAGAGAATATCGCAAAAATGGGTTCAAGTGACAAAGAAAGGTGACAAATCTGAAAACATCCCCATCAAATTCAAACAAAATACGAAGAGTTTTACCTTTATAGAAAGAAAAAAATCACAAAAAAGTGAGACCCACATAATACCTAGGCTACGTGAGCCTTGTCTATGCAGAAATTATCAAATAGGTCCAGTGGTGCACTAATTTGTATGCATCCCTGGCTTTTTTTTTTTCACAAAATGCACTTTTCAATTTCAAACTAAGAATCTGCTTGGCGTAAAATTGCTGCCCATACAGGACCTCCAACAATGAATGAGAGAGATAAGAGAGAGAAGAATTTATATCTCAAAATTTGTAAATTTTCATTGAAGTTGGTTCATATATATATACCAGAAGAAGCTTCTCTGAATGTGGTACACCTCAATCGAAGAGCTTCTTACACATAGATATATAGAAAAGCTGTAAATATAACTAAAGACTACTTTCCTGCAAGAATAAAGATGCCTTTGGTGTTTTTTTTCCCTTTCTTTTGCTAGGTCCTCTCGTGTCACTTTCAAAACCGTCCTTTTGCAAGCCGAGTTCGAGAGGCAGAAGGAGTTGCTGTCGGTGGAGGTCGGAGGAGAGAGAAGATCTGAGATCTGGGAGGGAGAAAAGATGAAGAGTTGCTGTCAGTGGAGTTCGGAGGCGGCGCAATGGTAGAAGCGGAGCGGCAGTGGAAAGGAGGGGGTGGGAAAGGAAGAGAGAGAGAGATCTAAGGAGAGAGAACACCTGAGAAGTCGGAGAGGGAGGGAGAGAAAGCGAGAGAGAGAAGTGCAAATAAAAACAAACCATCTCAGCCTTGGGTGGGACGCTGCAGAGAGAGAGGGAGAGAGGGATTGTTTTGGGCGGGAATGCAATGGGCGGGAATACAAAAATGTGACAAAGCATCTCAGCCTTTAATCAATAAAAATAAATCATCTCAACTGTTCAAATTAAATGTATCTCTAAGATATTTGTATACATTTTCAAAAACTATCTTCCCTTATTATATAAATTTGGATTAACTAAATCTAAAAATATTAACAAAATTGATAAAAGTACTAAAAAAATTATTAAAATTTCAAAAATACAATTTTAAATGGATTCAATCACAAAAAAAAAAATGATATTTAGTCACCCGAAAATCATGCTTGTATACATACATAGATTTACCAAAAAGTGGTACATTTTCAACATACAACTGTCAATTCTTTTTTTATTTTTTTTATTTTTTCAATTTTCTTGATTGAATCCCATTTTTAGCAAAATATGGAAAGGTAAGAAAAAGAGCCAATCAAAATCCAATTTTCAAATCTATTTCCTCCCTGAATATTAATTCTCCAAAATCTATAATCCATGGTTGCATCATGTTCTTTGCAAGATGAAAGGGATCATCAAGTTATAAAAAGCGCATAATTCAATTATCCAAAATAGCCTACAAAGAAAAACTTGTAGCAGTCCTAAGAAAGAAGACAACTTCTATGTCAGGGCCAAACAAATAACCTCAGAAACAGTAAAAATAAAAGAGTCTGTTGTAATATCAGTCTTTTGCACCTTAAAATCAATTAATAAACAGTCCCTACAAAATAAGGTTTTTATATGGCGTGGAAAAAAATAAAACCAGCATAACAAGATTAGCGGCCACGTCCCCGGCCACGTCCACGACCCCGGCCCCGGCCACGTCCCAAAGGCTTCCCTGAATTCAAAAGAATTGAAAAGATCAAAACCAGCATAACACAAGGCACCAAAGGTCAAATAAGAGGATATGTGAATGCAAGCGTGCGTTTAGAGCTACAAACAGATGTGCAATACCTGCGGTTGGCTTTTTGGGCTTGACCCTGGGTGTCTCTTCCACCAGCAAAGTCTCGAGATTTAAACTGTCGGGTAGAATATAATAGCGGATGTTGTTTCCCCTTACGCTTAGGTGATCAAAATTTACTGGATTTTTCCCCTTTAGCGTCAGTTTCACTGTTTTCAAATGTGTATTCATGCTAATATCCACACCTACAATAAACCAGCCAAGCCAACAAGTCAGGAAATGAGATTCATTGCCGTAATTTTCACAGGTGTGCATGCAGCTCCACAGATGCTCGTTAGGGGAAAAAAAGAAAGGCATGGGTGGTGACATTTAGGTTGGAACCCAAGCAGATATTATTACCATCTAAACTACTAGGATAATAAAACTGTCAATTACAAAGAATTATCACATAATTCTAAAGATACAAGGCAGGCAAAAAGTAATAGGCAGGAACAAAGTAAATTCAATGTGAGAATGTAGTCAGTCTGGCCACTTACACCAAATTCATGTAAATCTTTCTTTAGAAAAACAGAGATACAGATATGACTGAGCACACATGCATATGAATACAGAAGCAAACACAATGGTAAAAAAGAGAAGATGACAAAAACAAACCAAAAAAATAGGCATACCAGAAATCCTCAGCGATGCACATTACAAGTGCAGATCAAGGTTTTTAAAAATCACCTACAACCATTACGCAATACCGTTGCATAACGGTTTTGGTGGTTACTGCCTTTGTTATCAAAATTTTACGCTTCGCGATTTATCAAAAATCGTTATGAATCTATGAGTGAATCTATTTTGGAATAGAATCTATGGTAAATTGCACGATTCACAATCGATTCATGATTCAGTTAATTTTTTACAATTCATGCAACTCTTAAAACTATTGAGTCTGACAGATTCTTTCCTCATAGTTTTGATAGAACATTTGCTTTAGGTGCTGTAAAGAACTTCTGCTTCTATAGAGCATCTTCAAGAAGCAAAAAGAATCAAGACAGAAATAAATGGGGGAATTAACATCACATAGCCATGTAAATAAGATATTTTAGCACCAATGCACAACAATACTATTTAAGATCTTTCCTAGTTGCTACAAACTCTTGTAATCATCTTGGTTCTATGGGTGAAACATCAATATTCGAGAGGCGATTTGGATGGGGTGCAGGGTTCAGACCACAAGCCATCCCTTTGGTTAGCATCAGCTATCAAGTTAATTAGCTTCAAGGAAGCTCTCTGATCAGTTATTTTGAAGGAAAAAAAAAAAAAAAAACACCAAACCAAACCAAACTAAGCTTTGTGTCTCAATTAGTTGGGGATGGCTACATGAACCATCTTTAAAAAATAAAAATAAAAAAAGAAAGAGAGAAGAGAACGAAAGTAAGGAATCTAAATAAAAAAATCATACAGATAGGCACATATAACTAAGGTGGCAATGTAGAGCATCAAATTTTTTTTGGAGGGAAAAAAAAAATAGGTGAACCCCCAATCCTCCATTCTACTTTTTCACAGACAAATCAACCTAAAGATGTTTGAGATGTTCTAAATAAGTGCACTGGATGACCTAAATAAGTACACTTTTTGTCTTTTTACGAAAAGATGTGCAAAAAAGTAGAGAGGTGATGTGATGGAAAAAAGATAAAAAGATAAAAAGATAAAAAGATGAATTATTTTGGTGTTGCGAGCATCAAATTTTTTTTGGAGGGAAAAAAAAAAAAGGTGAACCCCCAATCCTCCATTCTACTTTTTCACAGACAAATCAACCTAAAGATGTTTGGGATGTTCTTAGGAGTTGTTTAGGATGACCTAAATAAGTACACTTTTTGTCTTTTTACGAAAAGATGTGCAAAAAAGTAGAGAGGTGATGTGATGGAAAAAAGATAAAAAGATAAAAAGATAAAAAGATGAATTATTTTGGTGTTGCCAAACTTGGCCTAAGTGCACTTTTGACTTTTTATGAAATATGGGTTGGGTTTGAAGTGATGTGATAGAGAAGTGATGTGACTTAAATAAGATGATGTGATTTAAATAGGATAGTGACTTTTTGACTTTTTTAGGAGATGCCAAACCTAGCCTAAGTTTGCTAGATGGAGAATCCATGTTGAGTTCAAATTCAGATATTTGCACAAGTGCACAACAATACAAGTTAAGACTTTTTCTAGTTGCTACAAACTCTCTTCTTCATCTTGGTGTTATGGGTGAAACATCTGAATTTGAGAGGTGATTTCGATGGGTTCAGACCACAATGACATTGCTTTGGTTAGCATCAGCTATCAAGTAAACTAGCTTCAAGGAAGCTCTCTTATCAGTTATTCTGAAGGAAATAAAAAAAGCCCACCAAACCAAATCAAACTAAGCCTTGTGTCCCAATTAAGTGGGGTTAGAAAAAAAGAAAAAAAGAAAAAGAAAAATGGAATTTATATAGAAAATAAGGAATCTAAATAAGAAATTAGACAGACAGGCAAAATAAGGTGGCAACGTAGAACATCAAATTTCTTTTGGAGAAAATAAAAAAAAAGTTGAACTCCAATGCTCCATTCTACTTTTTCATGGACAAGTCAACCTAAAGATTAAGTCTGCCAGATGGAGAATCCATGTTGAGTTCAAATTCAGATGTTTTAGCATGAGTGCACAACAATACTATTTAAAACTTTTCCTATCTCGGTGCTAGGGTTGAAACATCAGTATCCAAGAGGTGATTTGAATGGGGTGTGTGTAGGGTTCAGACCACAAAGACATCCCTTTGGTTAGCATTGGCCATCAAGTGAATTAGCTTCAAGGAAGCTCTCTGATTATCAGTTGCTTTGAAGAGGAAAAAAAAAAAAACCACCAAACCAAACCAAAAGTGGGGTCAGCTACATGAATAATCTTAAAAAAAAAAAAAAAAAACTAAGAGAGAATGTATATACATAGAGCATCAAAATAAGGTGGCAATGCAGAACATCAAATTTCTTTTTGGGGAAAAAAAAAAATGTTGAACTCCAATGCTCCATTCTACTTTTTCATGGACAAATCAACCTGAAGATCAAGTTTACTGGATGGAGAATCCATGTTGAGTTCAAATTCAGCTATTCAAGAACCCATCCAAACAAGCATTATCATTCCAAATAGGGATACATACAAGTCTTCAAGAAATTCTTCGTAGTAAGAAAAGGTAATTACTATTTGTTCTTAAAATTGGAGTTATACATACAAAGTGGTACTGGTTAAAGTGCCTCATTAAAATAAAGTTTTTGCTTGGCAAAATACTCAAAAAAGTATTGCAATTTTCAAATTTGTTGATGGAATGCTGCATCTCAACCATATGGGAAGGGAACTAATCAAATGCAACATTCATTGAGATCCTCTAAATCTAAATAATATGAGGCGATTGTTCAATGAAAAAGTCATTTAAAATTTTTCTATCCATTTCATTACAAGAGGAGAATACATATCCCATAAGAACCTCTGAATATCAATGGAGAGAGAAGATTACTCACTACAAAATCATTCATAACGCCTTATCCTTATTCTTATCAAGTGAAGAATACTACAAATAGCGTGGGTGTGGTATTGAAATCATCCTATAACAGAAATACAATACAAGACAATGATCCATCTTCAAGTCAAGAGAATGGTCGACCTAGAGAAACCCAAAAAGTTGCCCAAGTAATGTTACCGGTTTTTATTATTTTTGTTTCCCATTGATCACATGGTGAGTAAAATGGCACATGGCAAAGAATAGGCAAAACCATCACTTAGACAAAAAAACTTAGCATCAAGGAAATATGACATCGTACTCAGTTACGCAACAAGCCTTATTCCAAATTAGATGGGGTCGGCTATATGAAACTATTTTGGGTAAATCACCGTCGGTCCCTCTAGTTTGAACGAAATTTCACTTTGGTCCTCGTAATTTCAATATGAACAATTGGTCCTTACACTTTCAATTTTGTTACAATGTGGTCCCTTTGTTATACATTGTTAACATTTTGAACGGAAAAAAAGCGCGTGCAAAATTAAAAGGACCAAAGTGAGATTCAAAACAAACTATAGTGTCCACTAGTATAATAAAATATATTACATCAGTGGTCCCTGTAGTTTGTTTTAAATTTTACTTTGGTCCCTTTAGTTTTATACATGATCTTTTTCCATTCCAAATTCTAACAGTAAATGATGGTGGGACCACATTGCAACAAAATTAAAAGTGTACGGATCAAATTGTTCAATTAAAATTACGGGACTAAAGTGACACTTTGCTTAAACTTCAAGGACTAATGGTGTAATTTACCCAACTATTTTGTAACCCTCCTCACTTACCCAAGTTATTATATCATCCCAAAACTCCTCTCAGGTTCTGATCTTTGACAAAGCTGGCAAAGTGGGAAGGGAGGGGTTAGGTTAGTAAATCCAAAGAGCTCAAATTCCCTATGCAAGTTGATTGCTCTGATATAACTTTTCCATGAATTTAAAAAAAAAAGAAAAGAAAAGAAAAGAAAAAAGAAATCGAATGTGAAATCAAGACTGTTCCTCATTACCAGTGTTTCAAAATCGAGAAATTGTAATAACCATCCAATCATAGTTTAAAATACTAACTAGTCACTAACCATCCACATTTAATAATAATAATATGCAATCAGTTACGAATTACAGAACCCTAGGGTATAATATGCAATCAGTTACGAATTACAGAACCCTAGGGTTCGGCAAAACCCTAATATGAATTCGTTAAAAAGAAGTGAAGACGTAGTCCTCAAGAAATTGTAACCATCCAATCATAGTTTAAAATACTAACTAGTTATCCACATTTCAAAAAAAAAAAAAAAAAATATATATATATATATGCAATCATTTACGAATTACAGAACCCTAGGGTTTGGCAAAACTCTAATTCCATTCGAAATGAATTCGTACAAAAAAGGATGAAAAGATCGAGAAGAGAGACCTGTGATAGTTCCGTGAACAACAGTGCCGTTCTTGAGCTCGATTGAGACGGTCTCATTATTCAACTTCATCAAAAACCTACAGAAATCAACCAAAAAAAAAAACAGAATCAGAAAGCAGATTTGTAGATGTTTTCAGAAACAAATAGATCAAATGACGCTGAGATCAAAATAATTCGAAGAAGAAGGAAAAGTAGAAGACCTAACGAGCTTCATCGTCTATTTGAACTCTGAAGAAAAAGCGGGAAAGCTCTACTACTTTGGGGTTCCAAAAATGCAATTTGATTGTGAAGAAGTGTATACGCGAAGTCGTTTTGTCATGCGTTTCGTGATTGAGGGAAAATTGCACTTTTTACCCCCTTATAACTATAGTGTTGTCACACTTTGCCCCCACAACTAGAATTTTATGACATTTTACTCCTGATTTTTTTTTAATGGGTTAATTACATTTTTCGTTATGAAAGTATGATTCGTCATGTTTTAAATTGATTCTCAATATATAAGAAATATTTTAATTTATTTTTTTAATTTAACTTCGTTAATAAATATTTTTACATTTAGTAACAAATGTAAAAATTTACTATAAAAAACAAGGGTTAAATAAATAAATAATCCTCAAAATATGCATAATTTTGTTTCAAAGTCCTTATCTTTATTTCCGTCTATAATTGATAACAAAAGGAAGAACATTTTCCATCTACTACATGAACAACAGTGCCGTTCTTGAGCTCGATTGAGACGGACTCATTATTCAACTTCATCAAAAACCTACGGAAATCAACCAAAAAAAAAAAACAGAATCAGAAAGCAGATTTGTAGATGTTTTCAGAAACAAATAGATCAAATGACGCTGAGATTAAAATAATTCGAAGAAGAAGGAAAAGTAGAAGACCTAACGAGCTTCATCGTCTATTTGAACACTGCAGAAAAAGCGGGAAAGCTCTACTACTTTGGGGTTCCAAAAATGCAATTTGATTGTGAAGAAGTGTATACGCGAAGTCGTTTTGTGATGTGTTTCGTCATTGAGGGAAAATTGCACTTTTTACCCCCTTATAACTATAGTGTTGTCACACTTTGCCCCCACAACTAGAATTTTATGACATTTTACTCCTGATTTTTTTTTAATGGGTTAATTACATTTTTCGTTATGAAAGTATGATTCGTCATGTTTTAAATTGATTCTCAATATATAAGAAATATTTTAATTTATTTTTTTAATTTAACTTCGTTAATAAATATTTTTACATTTAGTAACAAATGTAAAAATTTACTATAAAAAACAAGGGTTAAATAAATAAATAATCCTCAAAATATGCATAATTTTGTTTCAAAGTCCTTATCTTTATTTCCGTCTATAATTGATAACAAAAGGAAGAACATTTTCCATCTACTACATTTACAAATTAGCAAAGAAGAAAATAAAGGGGGAAGATTACACCAGAGTGTATGTCAGGAAAAAAAAAATTACAAAAAAGTAATAAAAACTATAAATATTAATTATCAAAATATAAAATTTTCCATTAATATGCAATAACTTTTAAAAAACTCCCCTGTGTGGTAATTTCTCCAAAAAAAAAAAAAAATCTCCAAATTATGTGATTTGTTTTAATTTAGTCCACAATATTTTAATTTCTTTAAAAATAAACCTTAGATAATGGGTTAAGCGATTAAATGATACTTCTATCTTAACCTTAGAAGAAAATATTTTAAGTAATGAGTATATCACTTTATCGAGTTGACGTAGTGCACTATTCCACTTATCATTTATGTGATAAAAAATATAATCAAAACTTGTCGTAGTCAAATATTTAACACTTTAAAATAATAAATCTATATATATCATCAATTTAATTACGAGACAGATTTATTACATAAAATACTTTCTAGTGTCAAGTGAGATGCAGACAAGACACTGTTACTGGGGATTTGGGTTAAGTTGTGACAAAAGGAATGTGAATTATTAAAGTGGGTAGGGTAGGGAAAAGGTGCTCACAAAATCGACCAGACTCCATCTTGAGGTTTGAGGTCATTCCTCAAAAATTAGGCAAAAGTAGATCCAATCTTGACAAAACAACTAGCAGTGACTTGTTTGTTTGTTTGTATTATTGCCCGTTGGTTGTTAGCTTTCCCACCCCATAGGTTTTGGTGGCTTTCACTCAATTATTTTGATCCCTTTCCTTAACCCTTATCATTAACCATAATTGGTTCCTAGGTTGAGTGCATAGCCACACATAAACACTGGTTAATTAGGTGAAAAATATCATTTTTAGATACTAAAATGTTATACAAATTAATAAATTTTACAATTCCTTTATATAGATAGATGAGTTATACTATAATGAAATTATAATACAATGAATTTAATGAATTTTAACATATTTTACATAAATACATGATATGTGTAGATGTATAATTTATCGTAATGAGACCCATTATTTTTGTGTGTGTGTGAGAGAGAGAGAATATAATGAGTTTTACATATACTTATTATATTTGTTGCATGAATTTATATAGAAGTTGAAAACAAAAACTAATGTGCTATATGTGTACCCTTTGTGGGTTTTGATTATTTTAATACAAATTCTCAACAAAAAATTTCAATGTAGTAAGCATTTGAACACACTAAGTCATTGGTTAATAAGGTAACAATATTGAACTTTTGTGATTCCAAAAGCTAGATTTATTTATTATTTTTTTTTGGGGAAATAGAAATTTTGTTAAAATATCAAAGTTTAATTTTTAAGGTGCTCCATCAAATGAAGTCTATGTTATTGGAGAAAATAGATGGTTTTTTAAAAGTAAATCAATCAATAGAAATAAAAATAATGCGAACAAATCAAATCAATAACGACATAAGAATTTTTACGTAGTTTTCTCAATGTGATGTATGTTCACGTGGCCGAAATCTGATTTTACTATCAACTAAGGATTTTCAAACGATTACAAATGAGATATGAATAGTCTCTGATAATACAGTCTGTCCTTAGTGGATGGGCTGGGCTGGTCCAAGTTCCTCAAATTCCGATTCAGGCGGATGACTCCTCCAGATGACCTGCAAACAAGTCCAAAGGGGAACGGGGTAGTCCCCCAGTGAACCCTCCGGCGAGTGAATCTGTAGAGGAAGAAGGAAATATAGAGAGAGAGAGAGATAGAGAGAGGGAGAGATAGAAAAGCTTAACCTTCCTCTTGTCTTCCATTCTTGCTTATATCATTTGGTAATCATTTCACTGTCTCTTGTGATGTGCCCCATTCCGCCGAAAGCCTATGCCGTAGCTTACCTTGTTCAAGGTGAGGGGGCTTTGTTCCGACGGGGAGGTGTTGTCGTAATAAATGCTGTGATGGGCTGCATTAATGGTGATGTGTTGTGGCAATAACTCTGCAGATCTTTGTCTGCTGATGTGGCCTGTGTTCCACCTGCCATGTGCCCGAATGCCATTGGCCCTCCATGTCCAGATGGCCTCCAGCTGTCCTGGGCTTTGCCAACCGGGTTATGCTATTGGTCCCAAGCGATGGGTTTGGGGTGGTTTGCTGTGGGCCGTAAGCCTTGTGGGCCTATCCATGTCAGTAGTCCCCCATTTTCGAGTGCAGCTTTAGTCCAACGAAGGGAATAATAATAAGGAAGAGAAGTGCGAACCGAGTGGAGAGGCCGACCGTTAGCCGTGCCGACCGCAAGGGTGACCGAGCGGAAGAAACTGACCGTGAGGGTGGCCGAGCGGGAGGGGTCGACCGTGAGGCGTGCCGGCTGCGAGGGTGGCCGAGCGGGAAGGGTCGACCGTGAGGCGTGCCGACCGGGACGGCGCGGGGCTCAAAAAGAGAGAGGGGGGGTGGGGTGGCGCCATGTGATGATGTGAAATGGAAAGGACAGGGTAAGGGGAGAGGACAGTGCATCGTGTCCATACACGTGGCAATATCGTGGGGGAAGTGAAGCGTTGGAGCAGAAATGAAACGATAGGTCACGAGGGGGGTTTTGAAAAGGCAGTTTTGGCGGTTGATTTGAAAGGTTTTGAAACCGGTGAAAATTAATGTGGATCCATGAAATATGGGTAAACCGTGGGTTTTTGGTATAATGCGTTTCACCTACTTTTTTACAAAAACTCAAAATATCCAAGTGTTAAGTCCTTCATTGCGTACGACACACCTGTGTAGCATTTTCTCAACTTCCTTGCTCCTGCGTCATAAGTGATTTGTGAGCAAACCCTAGAAATGGCACAAGAAGAAGTGGTCAATGTGAGAGTGGACCCGCTGGGAGACGATGACGCGGAGGAGCTAGCAGCGCGATATAGGACGGAGACACGAATGGTGGGGGTGGGGGAATCGGTGGGAGAATCGCAAGCGTCGGCCCTGATATTGGCTCCAAAGCCACTAAGCCAGGTAGAGCCAGATCAGTGGCACACTAAGGCGGACAAATCCACACTCACTGCGGCGGATTTGGAGGCTATCAGGGAAAGATACCAGATTCCAGCGGAGGTGGAGTTATTGCTGCCAACATCAAGGGAAAGGTCGTCTGATGCTAGGCCAGGGGAGTTTTCCTTGTACGAGGAGGCGTTAAAAGGTGGGCTGAGGTTGCCACTGCCCTAAGTGGTGGTTGACGTGCTGAATCGCCTGGAGGTAGCGCCGGGGCAATTGATGCCCAATGCATGGAAGATTCTGCTGGCCTGTACGAGTGCGTGGCCCAAGGCGAATGGAGGGGAGGCCATGGCGGTAGACGAGTTCTTTTCGTGTTATAAAGCGTCGGGGCAGCAAGAAACGTGGGTCACCCTACAGGCGGTGATGGGGAGGGGATTGGTGGCGGGGCTGCCGACATCGATCAAGGGGTGGCGGCCACGGTGGTTCTACGTGTCTGCTAATGGGGAGTGGGGGTGCGCACCATCTGGAAGGTGCCAACTAGGTCGACGGAGTCGAGACTGGGGGTAGTGGCGGAAGAGAGGGTGAAGAGAGTGAAGGAGTGGAGGGAGAGAGAGAAGGCCAAATGGGACGAGCTTGTTCAACCGTCCGCATTGTTTGAGGCGGGGCTGGGACCGCAGCCGAAGGGTGGGGACCTCGATCTAGCAGAATTGGAGGCGAGAAGAGAAGCTCAGGAGGTAGAGGATTAGGCCGTTCTGGCCAAGGCCACGAAGTTGAAGGAAGCGCGAGGAGACCGATCGCTTCAACCGATCGCGCGGGAGAGGATCCGACTGCGCCCAAGGCCGTTGGGGGGAAAAGACTTAAGCAGTTTTGAGCCGCGGCCGCCCCCCGTAGACCCTGTAAAAGAACAGGCCAGAAAGGAGGGGGATACTCTGAAAAAGAAGAAGAAGAAGAGGAGTGCCCCAGAGGAAGC